GGGGTCCCGGGGCAGCTCCGAGGAGAGGGATCCCCGGCCCTTAGCTGTGTCCCAGTGAAGTGAGGCTCACTGCACTTCAGGCGCGCCGGACCCTTGGCCGCTGCAGCCCGTTTCATTTTGTGGGCCCCCGGACCCGGCCACTTCCCTGGGGGCGCAGGCAGAGAAGCCCCTTCGGGCAGGAATCAAGGGAAAGCCGGGCGATATGGCTCCAGGTGGAAACTACAGTCTTCTCCGCCCCAGTGGGGGGATGCTCCGTGTCCCCTCTCCCCGGGCGCTGGGGGGTCGCAGCTGCGCGCAGCCCCACTTTTGCGTCTGCACGTGTTTTCTATTGAAGCTGTGATGCTGCCCGGTGTGGCCTCGGCTCTGTGCGGCTCCCCTCGCCTGCGGGGCAAGGGGGCATTTTTCTTGATTGACGCCCTCCTGCGGTCGTCACACCTCGCGGTGAGCGGCTTCGGCTAAGGTCCTCCATTAATCGTAGAAATGAAAAGACTTACCAGCCTTTTCTATTGAGATTTTTTTTTATTTCCATCTTGGAACGATTTCTCCAACTGCAGCCGGACCGCAGTAGGAAGAAGCGTGGACTGGAAGCCAGGCGGACCGAGTTCGAGTTTCACTCCTCACATTTTGGTTGAGTAACTACTCTGCACCAGCAGTGAACAAAACAGATGTAGTTTCCTGTCCTCGCCAAGGCAGGAAACAAATTTTAATACAGTGACTTGTGTATGTGCCATGAAGTAGAAGTATGTAATGATCTGAAACGTTATAACAAGGGGACATCAGCTAATTGGGGAAGGGGGCATGTTAAGGAAGAGAAAGCGGTCCCCAAGGAAGTGATGTTTGAAGACCCAGTAATTATCAAAGAGCCTAGAGAGGGAGGAATAGTCCAAGTCCGTGCAACAGCATGTGAGTGTTACCAATGCACCTGGTCAAGTCACCCTCCCTGAGCTTTTCTCATCTGAAACATTTAAGACTTAGCCTAAAGTCTTCTAATCTTTTTGAGGTGGGATCATAGACACCTTTCGGAATCTAAGGACAGACAAGAGCTACAAGTATAGACAAACAGAGTGAACGTGATATGCAACATTGGAGTTAAAACGTTGGGAGAGGGTATGAATATTTATCTGTGCCTTTGCTCTATTACATAAACTATCTCTGGAAGGATATACAAAAAACTAATAACATTGTCTATGAAGAGAGAGGTGAAGTTGGGAACTGTGCCTTATACTTCATGAATATTTGGAGACTTGAACAATGTGGATGNATAACATTGTCTATGAAGAGAGAGGTGAAGTTGGAAACTGTGCCTTATACTTCATGAATATTTGGAGACTTGAACAATGTGGATGTGTGATGTATTCGTAGTAAAAGTAGGTCCTTGCAGAAGTGGCTGATTCTAAGTCTGGGGCAGGAAAAGTAAAAGATGCGCTGGAGGCATCTCCTGCCAGAAACCACAAAGAGAAAAACAAACCTCCTTGATGGGTCTTCATTGGCCGAACTTGGGGTGATTGATGCATCAAAGTCACATTCTGGATTATAACACATAGACTATAACAATTCATGGTACCTGAGTATCTTGTGATTCTCAGAGAAAGGGATGGTAGATGGTAAAGCTGGAAGAATGCCAGCTAACAAATGTAGAAAGATTGGAAAAAATCAGAAAAATGTAATTCATTCAAGGAAAAATCGTCCTTGATCACCAAAACCATTGAGTGAGACATTGTTGAGGATGAAGGTTTTCACAAGGTATCACCCCAATTGATTGGCTTCTGGATTAAAAAAGAAAAAATCTACAAAGGCCTTTTGGGAGAAAATAGGCAAAAACTGAACATGAATTGTATGTTAGATGACGTTTTTAATATTCACTGTGTTCGTAGTAATACTGATATTGTGGGTAAATGTTTTTATTTTGGGAGGTGACAGCATACTATTTAGGGGTGAAAGATTATGATATCTGCAACTTCTTTTCAAATAGTTCGGTATACACACACACATATGCACACAGAAGTGTGTATATAAAGAGGGAAATAATGTTAGAAATGAAAGCACTGTCTCATTTTCTTAAGGTAAAAATTATTTGAATTATTTGTTAAGTCTGCTTACAGGTTCAGGTGGTGTATTGCTCCTGGGAACCACCTGTGGAGGGCTGGCTGGATCATTGGTGCCTCCGCGGTCTGATCTGATGTTGTGCCCACTCCACCGGTCATAATTCTCATCACATGGCCTGATGGAGATTTCAGGCAGGTGCTGGGAGATTATGAAAGTAACGTGCACTTCTGTGCACCAAGGACAGACACAGGATTTGGGGACAAAGATAGGACAGTTATCTGAAGCTCAAAGATGCCTTCAAAAGTTATGTTTGAGTCTGTAATGATTTGGACTTCAGTGGCCTAAGCAGATAACTGTGATGATTATTTTCTCACAAAAATGTTTTCCCCTCATCTTTTTTCCTGCCCCTTCCACCTAGCAAGTAATTGAGATGGTCACAATTCATTTAATGCCTTTACTAGTCAGCCTTAATTCTCCATCTTGAAAAATAGTACGGATTTATATTGTTCAGTGCATGACTCAGCCACCAAAAAGATAAAACTCTACAAAGCTAACAAAAATAAATAGGAAATGCCAGGGAAATAATCACTAATTAGGAAAAGGAAGCATCATCCCATTTCCTTTAGTTAGCCGCAGACCCTGTGAGGTGAATGGAGATCTTAAAAGGCATTGGTATAACATTCCAACTCAGCTACATAATCCTCACTAGCAAATTGAAGCACTTAATTCTTTTAAACTATATAACACTACCTCTTCTAAATCCAATCGTCAGATCCATGTTCATTTTGCTATAGTTAAAAAAAAATTACAACCACATTTGTGAATGTCACATTTATTGAACTACATAATTTTTAATATCACTTGTGTAGGTTTTATAGTTTGTTTTATTGTTTTAAAAGTCATTTGGGGCTCTAAAAGAACAAGATTTTTCCAAAGTTGTCCTTATAATTTTTTTCACACAGTCAGAACTAATAAAACAAAACTGTTGTAGCTATTTAATTCAAAATCTCTTGGAGTTTCAATATTTTTTCTCTGCTGGATACTAAAACCAATAAAGCTACATGAGATTTTAATTATATTCTGAATTAAACAAGACTCTCTCCAAAAATTTGGCACCATTTATTTTAGTCACTGCTATTGTGCAAGAGACCAAACTTTGTAAGAAGGGAAGGTAAGTCTCACCTCTAGTTTATCTACTAGGAACTTAGGTAAATTATTTGCAACTTATTTTCAATAATTAAATATACATAGAGGAAAAACTTCACATTAGCGATAGTTTGAAAGCATCAATGGATTGAACTGTAACAATTGGTTCTATTTTTACTTACACTAAAAGTTTTATTATTTTCAGCTGTTGAAATGACTAAATCATTTAATCACATATCAAACCATTGTATTATATTTTATTCAATATTTGACAAAATGTAATTAATTGGGCATTTAAGGCTCTACTAACTTAACAACATGCTAATATAATCAAAGAAAAATGTCTCGTTCATGTCATGAATGGAATCAGCTCTGGACCACATGGGCAATAGTCACCATGATGTCACTTCAGAGATGTCCACATTTTACTTACTACAGTGTACCTTGCATAGTATCATAATGTGGATAAATTGGACCATGGAGCTTTAGGTAGAACTTAGGATATTTGCTCAATTTAAAAAGTGATGAAGAATTAAGTAATAAAAAGACAGAGAATCCAGTTTTTTAACCAGGCAAAAGATCTGAATAGACATTTCTCCAAGGAAGACACACAAAGGACTAATAAGCACATAGAAAAAGATATTCAACAGCATTAGTCATCAGAGAAATGCAAATCAAAACCACAATAATGCACCACTTCATACCCACTAAAATAACTGTAATAATTTTTTTAAAAAACAGAAATTGCCAAATATTGGTAAGGATATGGAAATTTAGAACCCTCATACATTGCTCGGGCAATGTAAAATGAAGCAGCTGCTTTTGGAAAACAATCTGGCAATTCCTGTAAAGGTTAAACATAAAATTACCACATGACCCAGTAATTCCACTCCTGGGTATATACCCAGGAAATGAAAATATACGTCCACACAAAAACTTGTACACAAATGTTCATAGCAGAATTATTCATAAAAACCAAAAAGTGGAAACAGCCTAAATGTCCATCAGCTGATGGATGGGAAGTTAAATGTGGTACATCCAAGCAATGGAATATTATTTGGTAATAAGGAATATGCCCTGGCCAGCGAGACTCAGTTGGGCATCATCTTGTGCCCACTCAAGGCACATGCCCAGGTTTTGGGCTCCATCCCTGGTAGGGGGCGTGCAGGAGGCAGCCAATCATTGTTTCCTTCTTACATCCCTGTTTCTCTCTCCCTCTCCCTCTCTCAAAATCAATTTCTAAAAAGTTTTTAAAAAAAGGAATAAAGTACCAAGACATGCTACAATATGAACTTTGAAAACATTTTGCTGAGTGAAGGAAGGCAGACACAATAGACCATATCTTTGATGACTGCACTGATACGAAAGGTCCAGAACAGGCAAATCTATAGAGACAGAAAGTAGATTAGTGGTTGCCTAGAGCTAAGGAAGTTGGGAATAAATGGAGGCATGTACCACGGTGAATTTCCTTCTAAGTACTGTTTATCGCCATCCCATATGTTTTGGTATGTTGTGTATTTGTTTTCATTCGCCTCAAAGTATTTTCTAACTTCTCTTGTGGTTTCTTCTTTGATCACTGGTTATTTAGTAGTGTGTTGTCTAATTTCCTCATATTTGTGAATTTCTCAGATGTCCTTCTGTTTTGATTTCTAATTTCACTCCATTGTGGCTGGGGGACGTACTTTGTATAACTTCAGTCCTTTTCAATTGATTGAAACTTGTTTTATGGTCTAACACAGCAATTTTCAGTGTGCCGTAGCACACTGGTGTGCCCCAAGAATTTTTAAAACATGCAACACCTGACTATTTAGTCAGGGGCACTGACCTCTTTTCCCTTAGATTGTCAAGTAAAAACAATGACAACAGCCTCCAGTGTGAATGAGTCAAAATTATACCTATTTTTTTGGTCAGATCAGCATTGATTTGTTGTTTCACTTAAATGTGCAGCCATCAGTTGATTCTTGTATGTGTCCTGGTGCCCTGACCAGGGAGCAAACCAGCAACCTTGGTGCTTGAGGACTACGCTCCAATCAATTGAGCAACCCAGCCAGGGTGCTCTCTTACATTTATTAACATTTATTTTATGCTGAATTTACTCCTGGGTCATAAGGTTTTGTTTCTTCAGTTTCTTCTGGGATGGCTTTTTCTTCGGTGCAGCCTCTTCTTCTGGTTTAGGAACAATCTGCTCTTTTCAGTAAGAATCATCTCAGTGGAGCTGGGTGTGGGGCAATTCACCCAGGAGCTCGATAACTTTGGTGCCACATCTTGGGAGCTGTGTTCACCTGGATGTGTTCAATGACCAGAGAATCTACCTGTAAACCATTAAGTTCATCATTACTCTGCATTTTTAAGCAAGTGCAGCAAAAATTCTGCACTTTTTCTGGGCCACCAACCCTGTGTCCAGCCCCAGTATTTGGCCTGGGCACACCTACCAACTGCACCATTGTAACAACAGGATGGTGCACATTGCTTCTGTAAAGTGACATCTTTGAGATACTTGGTGGCTTTTTGGATATGCATACCCTTGATGGCCCGGGCAGTTTCACAAGTGTTCCTAAAGCAAACACAAAGATGTGAACCTCTTCATTTGCATGATATTGTGGTGGTTTCTGAATCAAGTGAATAGCAAACCATTTTCAGAGGTCACCGCAGACGGCTGATAGGAAGAGCTACTAGGTTATTTTTTAAAGCAGTATAAACAGATGTGTTTTATGAACACACGATGTACACATTTTTATTTTTTCCTTTTTTGATATTCTTTTACTTTTGGCATATTTTTAAAAATATATTTTATTGATTTCAGAGAGAGGAAGGGAGAGAGAGAGAGAAACATCAATGATGAGAAAGTCATTGATTGGCTGCCTCCTGCATGCCCCCTGCTGGGGACCAAGCCCGGAACCCGGGCATGTGCCCTGACCAGGAATCGACCATGATCTCCGGGATCATAGGTCAACTGCTGAGCCACGCTGACCAGGCATTTTTAGGATATTTTTAAATTGTAGCATTTTAGAACTATTTTCTCTTTGCTAATTAAGCCTACCTACAATATTGATGCCTCTATGATTCAGTTACCTCTTCTTCGATAGATAGTAGGAATCCCATTTTATTGTGAATGGCTTTTATTTTTAGGTTAAATCAGATAATAGAAAAATGAATCATTTTGCCTGGCCGGGCATGGCTCAGGAGTTGAGCATCGACCTGGGATCCAGGAGATCGTGGTTCAATTCCCAGTCAGGGCACATGCCCGGGTTTCAATCCCCAGTTGGGGGCGTGCAGGAGGCAGCTGATCAATGATTCTCTCATTATTGATGTTTCTCTCTCTCCCTTCTTCTCTCTGAAATCAATAAAGATATATTTTAAAAAATGAATCGTTTTAAGACTTTTGTAATGTATACAAATATTGAATATGCTGTATACCTGAAACTTACATGGTATATGCCAATTATACCTCAAATTTATTTTTGTTTTAATTTATCTTTATTGTTGAAAGTATTACAAATGTCCCCCCTTTTCCCCCATTGATCCCCTCCACCCTGCATCCCCTCCAGGCCTTCACCACACTGTTGTCTGTATCCATGGGTTATGCATATATGCATATAAGTTCTTAGGTTACTCTCTCCACACCCACCACCCATCCCTGCATCCCTCTGAGATTCATCAGCCTGTTCCATGCTTCTGTGTCTCTGGATCTATTTTGTTCATTGGTTCATTTTGTTCATTAGATTCCACATATGAGTGCGACCATGTGATACTTGTCTTCCTCTGACTGGCTTATTTTGCTTAGCGTAATACTCTCCAGGTCCCACCATGCCGTCTCAAAGGGTAAGGGATACTGTGCCTTTACAGGTGCATAGTATTCCATGATGTAAATGTCTGAGAAGATGCTTGATATGATTTCAATCTTCTTGAACTTCTAGAGACTTGTTTTGTGTCCTAACATGTAGTCTGTCTTTNTGTTTTGTGTCCTAACATGTAGTCTATCTTTGAGAATGTTCACATGAAACTTTGTGCTTTGGCCCTTTAAGAGGGTGCCTGCATTTCCAGCCATCTCTCCCTGGCAGACAGAAAGCCCACTGCTTTTCACAGCCAGATGTTATGTGGGCGCCTTTCTCAGTTCTGATGCTCTGGGCTGGGAAGCCCAGCCTGGGGTTTAGGCCCCAGAGCTCTCAGTGGGAGCCCCCCACAGCCGAGATCTCCCTCCGGACCTTCAGCTGCTGCCTGTGGGAGCCCAGCGAGCCCTCTCGCGCCTCTCCATTTCCTACCAGTCTCTCTGCGGCCTCTGCTTTACATCCTTGGTTATGAGGATGCTCCCCAGCTCGTCTTCAGCTGATTATCCAGGATGGCTTTTCTATATTTTAGTTGTAATTCCAGTTTGGTCCTGGGACAGTGTCAGTGTAGCTTCCACTCCATCCACCACCATCTTGGAATCTCCGGAATCTCAAGACGTTTGCTTGGAATTCCAGAACAAATACCTTTTCTCCTTCCTGCTGGATGTGAATTAGTAAACACACAGGCCAGGGAGCTGCTTACACCCATCTTGGAACCACCAAGGGTGTTAGGCAGAGACTAGACAAAAAGAAACTAGGTACTTAGTGACATTGCTGAGGTGCTGGACCAAACCTCACCTGAAGCTTCTGGACTTTACAGTTATATGAGTCAATATATTCCTTTACTTGTTCAAGTAAAATTGGGTTGCGTTTTCTATCACTTACAACCAAAAGGTTTCTAGCTTTTGGATAGGTCAGAAAGAATCAAGAGTCCAAAGACTGGGTACTAGTGCCTGCTTCATGCCAACTAGCTGTGGGACTTTCCATGAACCCTCTATGCTGTCCTTCATGGGCCTCAGTTTTGTCTCTGAAATACATAGAGGAAGTATCAATTGAAAATTTTTGATGAATCACTTTAAAGTACATAATTCAGTGGCATTTAGTATTTTCACCGTGTTGTATAACCACATCTATCTAGTGCCAACATATTTCCAACATCCCCAAAGACACCATACTCATTAAGCAGTCAGTCCCCTTTCCCCCTTCAACCAGCTTTGGCGAACACTGTTCCTGTGAATTTGTCTGTTCTGGATATTCCATTTAAACGGAATCATACAATATACAAACTTTTGCATCTCACTTCTTTAATCTTATTTTCAAGGTTTATCCACATGGTAGTATGTATCTGTACTTCATTTTTTTTTTTTTTAATATATCTTTATTGATTTCAGAGAGAGGAAAGGAGAGGGAGAGAGAAACATCAATGATGAGTCATTGATCAGCTGCCTCCTACACACCCCCGACTGGGGACTGAGCCCGCCACCTGGGCATGTGCCCTGATGAGGAATCAAACCCCAATCACCTGGATCCTAGGTCAATGCTCAATGGCTGAGCCACGCCCGGCAGGGCTGTACTTCATTTTTATGGCTGTGTCAATAACCCATTGTATATATTTACCTTGTTTATCCATTCACATGTTGATGAACACTTAGGTGGTTCATACCACTTGACTATAGTGATAGTGCTGCTATGAACATTTCTGTGTACAATATTTGTGTGGATGAACTCTTTCTTTCCTCTTGGGTTGACACATAGGAGTGGAATTGTTGGGTCATATGGTGATTGTGTTTCATTTTTCAGGAATCACCAAGCTTTTCCACTGTGACTGAACTATTTTACATTCCAACACTGTACAAGGGTTCCTGTTGAACAACTTCACCGACACTTTTTTTTTCACCATAGCTATCCTTGTGGATGTAAAGTGGTATCTCATTGTGGTTTTGATTTGCATTTTCCTGAAGACTACACTGTTGCTGTTTACAAGATTCTGTCTTCAGCTTCTTCATTTTTAAAAATGTTATTGATTTCAGAGAGAGGGAGGAGAAACATCAATGATGAAAGAGAATCATGGATCGGCTGCCTCCTGCATGCCCCCTACTGGGGGATACAGACCTACACCCAGGCATGTGCCCAGACTGGGAATTGAATTGGCAAACTTTCCGTGCACAGGATGACACCCAACCAACGAGCCACACCAGCCAGGGCTTGTATTGTTTTGTAAAAGTTTATTGATATTCTGTATTTGTTCTCCTGGATTCCTTTAACTCTGAGCATATTTGAGTCAGTTGATTTAAAGTCCAATGTTTGCCCTTCCATATGGATGGTTTATGTAATCTCTTCTTTGAATGGGCCATATTTTGTTTCTTTGCATGCTTATTTTTGGGTTGAAAATAAAACATTTTGAATGTTATATAATGTGGTAGGTAACTCTGGAAATCAGTTTTTTCATGCCTTGGTTTGTTTTTTGTTGCTTACTGTGAGCTGTAGCAATTTTAGTGACTTCTGTAAACTACACTGTTAAGTCTCAATTCTTTGACTTACATAGTCTCTGAAGTCTCTTTTGTTTTCAGCTAATGTGTTAACAGAGATTTTCTTGAATGCCAGTGGCCAAAAAATAACAAAAACAAGTCTTAAAAATGAAAAGATCCTCCTAGTCTTTGCACATTGGCTGTGAGCACACCTTCAGTGCCTGGGCAGGCCGTTGTAATCTGCCTTAGTATCACTTCCTGCTGTACGGATCCTAGGTATCATCCAGAAGTAAGAGCTTAGGGTCTTCTCAGAGGTGTCTTCTGAGCATGCAACTTGGCCTGAACATAAAGGGCTTTCTCAATTGCCCAGCATACAGTGGTTTTGGAATGGCCTACTTTCCCTTAAGAAATCCTCTCCCATTTCTTCCTCTCAAGATTTAGGCAGTTTATTTACTTCAACTAGAATCCTTTGCCCCAGGTAGCAGCATGTTCACTTGCCTTACAGTACTTTTAAGAAATGCCTGCACTTTCCCCGCCAAGTTCTGAGTTAGTTAGATGAAACAAAGTGCCTTGCTTCAGTCCTTCAGGAGGTGCCAGATAGGTTAGAACAATTTTGGGGGGACTATCATCTGCTTTCTTGGGACCAGGAACCAAGGTGTTGCTCTGAAAATGTGGACTGCTGTGTATCTTCAAGACCACAATAGAGCTGAGAAGGAATGAAACAAAGGCAAGTAAAACACTAAGAAGCTTTCCTGGTTTTTCGCTTGCCTTTTTCTTGATTCAGCATTTATTGGTTGCCGTAAACGTTTCCCAGAATTCTGACAAGGTTGTTTCTGAATTTTATTTTTTACATCTAAGGAGGAATGGGTCCTTGACGCTATCTACTGTTTTGCCAATGGTTATTTTTTGACATTATACATGTAAACTTGAGAGCTAATTTAAACTCTGAATGTTTAAATTCTCCAGAGATTTATTTTTGCTCCTGTCAGGTAGTTAAACTAGTTGTATTAGTATTCTTAGATAACTTTAAAATAGGGAATGAGATGACTTGAAGCTGGACTTTAGGCCCTGTGAGGGCCAATCTATTTCTCATTCCTCTTACACCAAGGTGTAGCCCTCTGTGGAACTGAAAGCCTGGTATTTTACCAA